GGCCCTGGTATGAAAAATGTGGAACAATTCAAACAAGAAAACTAACGGCTTATTTAGTAACAATACAATTTACTAAAAACAAATATCATGAATATGAAGGACCTGAATCAATAAAAAATACTAAAATCACAGGCCCTTGACATGGGATGGGCACATAAAGAAATTAACAGAGATTTCTGTATGCTTGTCAGTTTAAGGTTGCAATAGAAAATATCAAAATTTTTGATGAGACAATGATTTAGAAAAAACAGCAAAGCTGTGATTAAATACATATTTGAAATAATACACATCTACCGTTACCTGAAGGGCCAAGTGAGTTTTTCTCATCACTTGGCGTCTGTCGTCTGTCTTCGTCATTAACTTTTTACATTTTGAACTTCTTCTGAATGGAATGAAACCAAACATGGCATGAATGTTCCTTATGAGGTGCTGACCAAGTGTTGTTACTTTGAAGCCGATCCATCATCCAGGATGGCCGCCAGCAGGGGACTTAGTTTGACATAGGACCCTATGGGAAATACATACAAATGTCTTCTTTTTGAGAACCACTGAATGGAATGAAACCAAACATGGCATGAATGTTCCTTATGAGGTGCTGACCAAGTGTTGTTACTTTGAAGCTGATCCATAATCCAAGATGGCCGCCTTCGGGGGACTTAGTTTAACATAGGACACTATGGGAAATACATACAAATGTCTTCTTTTAAAGAACCACTAAATGGAATGAAACCAAACATGGCATGAATGTTCCTTTTGAGGTGCTGACCAAGTGTTGTTACTTTGAAGCCGATCCATCATCCAAGATGGCCGCCAGCAGGGGACTTAGTTTAACATAGGACCCTATGGGAAATACATACAAATGTCTTCTTTTAGAGAACCACTGAATGGAATGAAACCAAACATGGCATGAATGTTCCTTATGAAGAGCTGACCAAGTGTTGTTACTTTGAAGCTGATCCATCATCCAAGATGGCCGCCAGTAGGGGACTTAGTTTAACATAGGACCCTATGGGAAATACATACGAATGTCTTTTTTTAGAGAACCACTGAATGGAATGAAACCAAACATGGCATGAATGTTCCTTATGAAAAGCTGACCAAGTGTTGTTACTTTGAAGCCGATCCATCATCCAAGATGGCAACCAGCTGGGGACAGTTTTTAACAAAGGACCCTATGAACAACACATACAAATGTCTTCTTTTAGAGAACCACTGAATGGATTGAAACCAAACATGGCATGAATGTTCCTTATAAGGTGCTGACTAAGTGTTGATACTTTGAAGCTGATCCTTCATCCACGATGGCCGCCTGAGGGGGGGGACTTCCTTTAACATAAGACGTACCCTATTGGAAATACATACAAATGCTTCTTCTACATTGTCTAGAGGTGCACTGAATGGAATGAAACCAAACATGGCATAAATGTTTCTTATGAGGTGGTGATGAAGTGTTGCTACTTTGTTGTTGATTTACTGTTCATGATGGCCACCAGGATTTTTTATTAAATTACAGGGCCGATATTAAACCAAATTTGGCCTCACTCATTATTAGGGTATCTGTTATATGATTTTAATCTATTTTAACATGATTTCCAAAACTAAAGTTGAATCAAGTGAGGGACACAGGCTCTTAAGAGCCTCTAGTTATAGGAGTTATGGGACTTTGACCATTGATTTGACCATTATTATACAATGACACCTTGTTGATATTGATAATGACTCAACTAAATGATACTCCTCTGATACTGTTTGACACCAAGCTCTGACAGCAAGCTCTGACAGCAAGCTCTGACAGCAAGCTCTCAAACTTGATAGGATTGTTTTGCTATCATGGGTAGTTGACCATATTATACCGTCATGTTGGTGCAACTATTTTTAGGCAGTTAAGCTGCCTTATGCCAGCACCCTAGATTTGTGTTCTTCCCAATAACTGCTGAAATACGTGCCATTGTTATTATCTAGCTGGCTATTTTGTTATTTATAACTAATTGGACATTTTTTTAATACTTTTATTTCTGGAATACAAAAAATATGACCAGAAAAACCTTAAATGATCGTCGAACTACCCAAAACTTTTGAAGATGCACATAGGAAGTAGGGCTCAATAGAAATCCGTACGTATTTTATTATCCCCTGTGCTTTTGGCTACGATGCCAAAGAACAATTGTATGAAATATTTCATCGCCGAAAATCGGTAATTACAAGTCGTTTATATTTCCCAAATGGCAAAATGCGCAGGAATATTGTTCATGTACAACATGTACAACAAATCTCTATGTTAGAGGAAATATAGTTATATAAGTGGGCGGTAATTTTTAACTTATCTTGCCAAATAAGGTTGTTGTTATTTTATGAATGAAACGAGGTCATGAAACAGATGCGGAAATCGACGTTGATGGGATGTTTTAAGTAATGTGGACAACTCGTCCCCAAGACAAGTCGGACTGAATCCACTCAAACCGTCTGAGAAGACAACTTTGACCGTTTGTCAGATTTACTTAGGGTTTCATAAAATATTAGACTTACATGTCTAGCAGAGCCTTTAATCTTTTGTTTGTGCGACGGGGTCTATTTAGGGGTATTTGAAGGCGCCTGAAGAAGGGAGGGGTTTACTATAGAACCCTATGGGATTTTATTTTTTTAATTTTCAAATGACTATTTCTCGAAAACAGTAAGTGATAGATACATGCAGTCTTCAATAATGAGAACAGGACAAAAAAAAATCAACCAAAATATAGGGTGAGTCCCTTGGGGTCATCCCAACACCCTTCAATTTGAAAATGTACTTTTATCTTGTAAACCGTCGCGATCCCTACCCCTAAACAATATATATACTTGTATGGGACAATAAAAGAAATCAGATGAAAATAATTTGGGGGAGTCCCCGGTATCGTCCCACCCCCTCCTGTTTGAGAACTTGGAAATGATCGAGATCCCCACCCCTAAACCATATATAATCATGTATGGGACAATAAAACAAATCATATGAAATATAGGGGAGTCCCTGGGGTCACCCCACCCCCTCCTGTTTGAGAACTTGGAAATGGTCAAGATCCCCACCCCTAAACCATATATATTCATGTATAGGACAATAAAACAAATCAAATGAAATATAGGGGGAGTCCCTGGGGTCACCCCACCCCCTTCATTTGAGAACTTGTAAACAGTCAAGATCCCCACCCCTAAACCATATATATTCATGTATGGGTCACAATATAACAAATCAAATGAAATATATGGGGAGTCCCTGGGGTCAACCCACCCCCTTCTGTTTGAGAACTTGTAAATGGTTAAGATACCCACCCCTAAACCATATTTAATCCTGTTCATCATTTCAAAAAGATTTGAATGACATACAGGGTCAATCTCCTAGGTGTCACATATGCATATCACTTTACTAGACAAAATCAATATGAACTGGACTTTGCCCAATGTCAGGAGACCATGGGAATGATGAATTATGGGGGCTTTGTTTGGGAGACTTCGTAACGGCATTCTGTTACAATTATTTCTAGTTTATTATAAAATTTTATTGATGCAAAAAATGTGTCTAGGTTAATTGAATTTACTTTAATTATTTATTAAATTATTTCTGGGCCTATAATAATTTTCATTTATGGCTCATTTTAAAGAAAACATATAAATCTTTCAAGCAGTGTAAAGCCCGAGAATGTTTGACCAACTGTTTTATAATCACCTGTCATTTTATTCCAAACTTGGTATGGAGTAACATCATGCGCTTGGGGGTGAAGATGGGGGTCATTTACATTGATATATGAGTTGCTTTTGAAAACTTTGATGAAATATTAATTAATTTGCCTTAATAATCAATTCATTTAATGAACATAAATGTACAATATACAAATGTTTAATGTTTGTTCTTTCAAATCTTAAAAAAAAATTGAAGCAATACTGCCACAGTTATCATAATTAAGTTTGCCTTGGTTTTTGGTTAACTGCCTACAGTGCTTACAGTGCTTTGATTTATTGGGAGTTATGGGACTTTGACATTTTTTATGCCCCTGCCGTAGCGGAGAGGGCATTAAGTTTTACCCTTGTCTGTCTGTACGTACGTCCCGTACTTCCCAAAATTGGTTTCCGTTCTCTAACTTTAGTTTGCCTCAACCAATTGTTATGAAACTTATACACAATGCCTATTACCACAAAACACAGATCAATTTTGAATTTTGGTGGCGTCACTGTTACCATTCTAGAGTTATGCCCCTTTACAAATGGAAAAATTGCTGAATTTTTCGTTTCCATTCTCTAACTTTAGTTTGCCTCAACCAAATGTTATCAAACTTATACACAATGCTCATTACCACAAAACACAGATCAAGTTTGAATTTTAGTGGCGTCACTTTTACAGTTTTAGAGTTATGCTCCTTTACAAATGGAAAAATTGCTGAATTTTTGGTTTCTGTTCTTTAACTTAAGTTTGCCTCAACCAAATGTTATGAAACTACTTATACACAATGCTTATTACCCCAAAACACAGATCAAGTTTGAATTTTGGTGGCATCACTTTTACCGTTCTAGAGTTATGCCCCTTTATAAACAGTTTGCCTCAACCAAATGTTATGAAATATATACACAATGCTTATTACCACAAAACTCAGATCAAGTACAAATTTGGGTAGCTTCAATTTTACATTTCTTGAGTTATGTCCCTTTTTAGCAATATATGCAAGCGGGGGCATCATCTGTGTCCCATGGACACATTCCCCATTTATTTTTTACTTATTCACCACAATGACACCATGTTTGGCCTATTGAATAGCAGCCCAAAATACACTTTATAATGTAATCTATGATCCTGTTGTACAACTTTATACTGTATCCACAATTTAATCCTCATGTTTACAGCAATGCCTAGTAATCTTGATTTACAAGCAAGGCTCATTTAAATGAATTAAAAATGATTATTGTACATAGACATGATAATGAATGATGTTTTGAAGAATAAAAAAAATATAAAAAATTGAACTATTCATTTCTAGGCTGTAGGTCGATTGGGAGGTCAAACAATGTATCAAGAGTGTCAAGGGTTAAAGGTGAAAATCTTAGACCAGTCTAATCAGGAAATTATGTTGGAAATCAAACAATCACTGGAAGAGTTGAAAGAACTGAAACTAACAATAGACAATTTGAATATGGAACATTCAAAAGTTATGGAAATTTTGAAAGACCCAATACCATGGAACATCAAAGGTACATTATACTTATTGATACAGATAAAAGTAGAATGTCAATTGACAGGGTAAATATTTACCAATTCTTCAATTTCTCATATATTTTGCAATGTTTTAATCCTACGTCACGTATATTGACCACGTATATTGACCGAAACAAATATCAACATTCCCTACAGAAATGGAGGTAATAGGATTTATTATAAAACTTCTGGAGATATATTTTTCATGGTTGTGTGACTGCTTGGAAAAAAAATTACAGTTTTTGTCTTGCCTGCGTCGCAGTATGGGAGACATAGGTATGTACTTATTACTATTCTGTGGCGGTGGCGGCATAAACTATTTGTATAAAGCTTTATATCAGAAGGTAGAAGACCTTGATGTTTCATATCTTGTATGCATATACCTTATGTTACGAGGTTTCCGTCTATCATATGTCCATTTTCCTTGACCTCATTTTTATGGTACCGGTTCAGCAACTGCTTGAGTTTTTTTGTCATGTAAATTTCTTACTTATTATGAGTAATAGGGTTACTGTAATAAATAACTGTATTTGGTATATTAGTTCCTTGCAACGTCTACATATGGGTCAGACAGGGTTTACCTGACCTCGACCTCATTTCAGGGATCAGTGATCAAGGTTAAAGTTACATTATTAGGTCCGTTTCATAAAAACTATAAGCAGTAGATCATCTATAGGTGTATTGAATGACTGTAATGGGAACAATGTCAGTCTGACCTTGACCTCATTTTCACGGCTCATTGGTCAATGTAAAGTTTTTGTGTTTTGGTCTGTTTTTCAATTACTATTATCAATAGGTCAACTATATTTGGTGTATGAAATGACTTTAATAGGTGCATGTCTGTCTTGCAGATATCATCTGACCTTGACATCATTTTAAATGGTTCATTGATGAAGTTAAGATTTTGTATTTTGGATTGTTTTTCAAGTACTATAAGCAATACTAGTCACCTATATTTGGTGTATTGAATGATTGTAAGGTGTACGTGTCTGTCTATTATCTGACCTTGACCACATTTTCATGGTTCATTGGTCAATGTTAATTTTTGTTGTTGTCTGTTTTAATTATCATAAACAATGGGTCAACTATATTTGGTCTATACATAAATTGTAAGGTGTCTGTCCGTTCTTCCGTCCATCCGGTCTTGTTAGCGCCCTCACAGGTACAACTCTTTCCAGATTGTTTTAAACTTATACTATAGGTTAATATCAGCAATATTTGGACAAGTTTTATAATGGTGGCTGATAAAACTTTTTTTGGAAAATGACGCTGTCAAAGCGTCAATTTTACTATACCATTGACCAGATATCATTTTATCGCTTCCAGTCGCTTCCAAGCTGCCTTCCGAACTCGGTTCCGTATTTTACATAACTATGTCCTGTACAGAATTTCATTCTTAACCTGTCCATATGTTTATTGTTATTAAATGGTATTTTGAGCTATCCCTTTGGTATAATTTTCATATTTATATGAGCTTTCGCTTTTTTGTGCATGACTTTCCATCCGTAAAAAAATCAGAATATAAATAGATCCGTATTGTTATGGTTTTGGACTTTTTACATACCAAATGATAACAAATCCCTATCGCTAGAAAATAGTTCTTGAAAGAATGTTTACCTTTCTTGTCAGCTGCATGAACTTTGATCTGCTTACCCCTCCGGAGCACCTGAGATCACCCCCAGTTTTTGGTGGGGTTCGTGTTGCTTAGTCTTTAGTTTTCTATGTTGTGTCATCTGTACTATTATTTGTCTGTCTGTCTTTTTGTTTTTGGCCATGGCGTTGTCAGTTTGTTTTCGATCTATGAGTTTGACTGTCCCTCTGGTATCTTTCGTCCCTCTTTTGAAATAATTCAAAAAATAATAATCGGAATCATCAAGAAATCATACGAAAGATAATGGTCTTTATCAAGATGTAAGAAGTTTTTAAGAATCGAAAATTAGTAATACGGTTATATCCACGCGGTGCGTATGTATTTGTAAGTTACTGCTGCAGACATAATATAGGTCAAATATTGGGCTATTCCAGAAATAAACCATCCCCCCCCCTATGGAAGACATCAGTTGTGAAAAAAAAAATCCATGGAAATATTTTTCACTATTGCCAGAATTTTCTGGAATTCCAGCATTTGAAATTATAATACTACTTAAAAATCCTGGAATTTTTTTCATGATGCTGTCAATATGTCTGGAAATTTCAGTGTACAGGTCAAAAGCAATACCTATGGAAGACACCAGTTTTTAATTTTTTGTCTGGAATTTATCTGTTTCTGTGTAAATATGCAAAAAAGTCCTGGAATTTACTTAGTAATACATGTGTATGCAGCCATAACCAAGAGAAGTGTATTTAAAAGTTAAGCGCAAACATATTCCTGACTAAAAACTACATTTTTGTTTGTTTACCCTTGTATTTATGACGTACACCACTATTTCCAGGAGAATTTGTATCCAGCGCATACCCCACCCTTTTCATATCATATTTTTACTTATCAAAAATGTATATCTGTCATAAAAGCATATAAATGTATTTATGAACAAATAATAGACCTATAGTATATTAAACAGATGAAAGTTACATTGCCATTTCCTCTAAACACATCAGAATTTCTTTTTAGAATAGTAATGTAGTGTTTTATTGTTACATATTTTATAATGTTTATTTATAAATTAGGTGAAAATGTCAAAATAATTGGATTAAAAGCACAAACAGCAAATTAATAGCTGGTAAGAATGCATGGGAAAATTGATTAAGAGATAATTGATTTGACCACTATTGGAAACATTTACAAACATCAAAAGATTCTGATATCTAATTAGTTTCAGACACTTGTGATTTAAACAGGCAAGTTGAAAACTTGAACTTCATCTAAATTTCCAGATTTTATCATGAGATATGTAATGAAGCTTGAAATAATGACCATGGTGACCAGCTCATCCCTACCACTTATTGAAATTGGATTTCCTGTTTGAAAATGCAAGTTATTCAACAACACTACCTGCTAAAGTTCACTTATGAATGCAATAAGCATTCCATAAAATTTCTAGACCTTGAAATCTTCAAAGACAAAAACATGAACATACTGGTGTTTTAGATATGAAATGCTATTAAAAAAATACAGAAAAATTCCAATATCTTCTTAAAAACTCAAACCACCCTATTTGGAACTTTAAATCCTATATTAAAGGCAAAGTTATTCATTTACCTAGAAACACAAACCAGAAAAAAAGACTATTTTATTAACTGAAATTGGTAAAACAAATTCTATCAAAAGTCAAATTCCAAGACAGACAAGATAAATAAAGAAAAAGAAGGAAGTTGAAAATAGATGTAATGTATCATTCATTACATATTATCATTCTCAAGCAGAAAAACTTCAAAAAGTATTCAGGAAATACTGGCATCTTATTAAAACAGATTCTACAATAGGTGCTATATCCCATTAAAACCTATCCATAGGATTCAAAAGAAATAGAACATTGGTGAATTAGTGAAATGAGCTATAAAATAGTTTGTTTGAACATCACAGTTCCTACAAAATTTCTCACTGTGCAGAACTAATTAATGACCATCATCATTAAAACCACACATGTAAACAAATATTCTTATAAGACAAAATTCTTACCATTAAACATTTAATTCAAAATTTATTGAAATAGGTTGAAATAGTTAGAAAATTAGAAAATCAAAATTTAAATTTAAATTCAAATTCAAATTAACAAATTCTATAAAATTATGAAAAAAAAAATAAAAAATAAAACAGTATTTAAAAAAAATGAAAAACAGAAGGGGTGGTCTCTGCTGAAAGTTTCCCTTTAATTAACACATTTCCGGAAAAACCAAAAACATTGCTACACAGTATTAATGAAAGGCCAGACAAATGATTTGCACTAAAAATTATAGGTAAGGTGGATATTGGATCATATTTCTATGAAATAATCCCAAAACACAGAAAACAATCGTGCGAGTGCTTTGGACACATTTACTTGTTTTACTGAATGAAAAAAAAAATCACCGTTCTGCGCATTGTGCTCTAAATTGATCAGAAGAAGTTGTTTAGGTTCATTCTTTCATTCGCTGCAGAAACTATAAATCTTTATATCAAAAGTTGCAAATAATACATGTACTAGTTTGCAGTTAGCTTAAAGGATCACCATGGCCCGCTGATTACAAACGATTTAGATGAAATATTGCTCATACTTGGATGTTTGCACTATTCATCAATCATGTTAACTATTTAATAATGTGATTTGTTGAATTAAAATGTTGCTTATTAGCTTAGTGGTAGCTCTATAAGGTGCGACCTCCCTTAAAATCCCCATCTGCAATATGACCCTTATCTCTTGAGTTTAAATTATTGCAAGAAATGTTTTTATCTTTACTTTAAAAATAAAATCAAAATTTGCTCCGGGTTCTTTCTCTTGATTTAAGAAGAAGCTTCTGTCTAATTTTTATAAGTTTTGTAAAATTTCATGAAGGTTTGACAAAGTTATTCAAGATCTTTCATTTTAATACCTAAAGGTTGACTGCAAAATAATTATTGATAAGTAAATTATGGAAGAATGCATAAAAAAGTTATAATTTTTAGTCAACATGTCAGGTATTTATAGAGTATGAAGAATCTTCTTTAAAAGTTTCCTGATATTGCTTAAAGGTTTGAGGACGTTATTGATATTTTGTTAAATTCAACCCTAGGCTGTATCTAAATGTTTATTGAACAAAAATAAGGGCTTTAGTGCCCAAGTGTTTTAAGTATTCTAACACTGTATCATTGGCTCATTGCATAGGCGGATCCAGGGGAAGGGACCCCCCTTTGGTGGGAAAAATTTGGTTGCTTATATTGGGAATCACTGAAGCATGACTGGAGCAGCCCAACCCCTTAAGTCAGCTAGGTCAGTCAGTGCCCCCCCCCACCCCTTTTACAAAAAGTTCTGGATCCGCCACTGCATTGGCCTGTCAACTATTCCTACACAAGGCAGTGCCCTCAACTTCAATCATAATT